TCTTTGAAATGTAGACACCAAAGGGTGGAGCAGATGGAATAATGCTCGACATAAGGGAAAAGTTGACCATTGGAAAGTTAAAATCATCCCTCTTACAGTCTTGTCACTATGGATTTTTATGCATTGGTCTTAATATGAAGGGGGAACGGGTGTCCCAGTCGTCTAAGGCGCCGCGATTCGCTGTGCAGAGTTGCGTCCCTTGGGCACGCCAGAAACCTATGATTGTGGGTTCGAATCCCGGTTCGCCCCGATTATGTTTCTAGGTTTGTCAGCACCATACCCGTGCTCGTGGGTTTCACCGAAGTGGTAAACGTCTTAGACCTGCATCACTTCGGGCTTTCCTCCCACATTAAGCTGACACGCCGTGATATAACTGGAATAATGTTAAAAGCGGCCTTAAACCCAACTCACTCACACACTCACTGAATATGAAACAGACGAGGCGGTCACCTATATTTCTAGTGCAGGTAAATATATTTATCAGAAATGTGCCAAGGTAAATGATTTTGTAATGCTTATGTAAATGGATTGTTACTCAGCCTTTCCCAGTCGCCATAAGCTTTGCTATGTGAACAGTATTCAGGAAATCGGTCCAAGATTTGTTCATGTTCAGTTATCAGAGAAAAGCATCATCTAAGCCTTTTGACACATATTGGCCTTACTTATGCATTTTGCGTTTATTTTGATCATAATTTAAAAAGGGGTTTTCCTCATTTCTTACGCTATGTATAATCTGTGGGCAAAAAGGGCCCTTGTCATACCTGTTGTGTCGGCACATGCATTTTGTGCAACTTTTGATAATAATTTTCCTCATTACTTAAAATAAGCATATACTGTTGCGAAAAGGACCCTTATCACACATACCTTTTGTGTGGGCACATGCGGTTTGTGCTAATTTTGATCATAATTTAGAAAGGTTTTCCTCATTTCTTAAAATATGCATATCTTTTGGCCAAAGGTCCCTATAAATACCCTTTTGTGTCCGCACAAAGTTCCAAACTATATATGGGCCACATAATGGCAAATGTTAAAAAAGGATTACGAAGCATAAATTTCGCAGATAATATATTTTTGTTCGATAAAATCCCAAGCGAAACATGACAGATGATGTGAGAAAAAATAAGAATATTTTCAAAGATTTGTATATTCTCCAAAGGGCTCAAATATACTATTCATAATATTGTTACCTATTATTCTTGTTCAAGTAAATTGAAAACTCTTTGATGAGAAATACTATATTTAGGAAAAACAAACCTTGCTCTATATTCAGTTAATCAACGTCACCACATTCTCAAAACGTGCAACCTATTGATAAAATACTCGTTTAGGGCCCCAAGATATTGTCACGGTGTATCCATTGGTGCACGTGCTCCAGCAGCAGAAAACACATTCCACATGCATCACGAAACGGCGGCTGACACAGTATATATATATACAGACTAAGCAGAGGTTCAAATATTTTCCACATAGGAATGTTGAGTCAGAGTCTAAAAGTAGGGATGTATTTTAAGTAAGAGAACCGACAGTTACTCATAGTTTCTCCTTAACATAATAGTCTGAAACTTCACATCCGTCCATCAGCAAAGCATAGTCACTAAACGCGTACACATATGACATGGGCACGTATTGCATTTGATACTACAGAGGCAATATCATTTTTTCATGGACAGTCGAAATTTTCGATATAATGTTGAAAGTGCAAGGTCCTACGGTGACAATTCAAGATACTAGTTGAAATGTCTTGAAGCTTCAACATGGCATCATGAATTTTCAACATACCATCTTGAATTTTCAACATAGAACCGTGAATTGTCAAATTTGTACTTTGAAAGAAAAAAAATGATATGGCCCCAATGGGTTTCCGTAGAAAGTATATATGTGCAATCTTTAAGAGAGCAGCCGACATGTATTAAGAAAGGTTGATGTAGGATGAAGAGTGTGCGCGTGTGTGTGTCTTCTGTGCGTGCGTGTGCTGATCGTGCGCGTGTGGGGGAGGGGGATCAGTGTGTGGTAAGTGAGTTGGGGTGGTTTGTTGGTCACAGTCTGGGGTGAGCTCTTAGTGTGTAAGGAATTTGCACAATTCTTTGTTACTGATTTTTATGCGTAACGTCTTCCAACTGTCAGTCTTCAGCTGAGACGGCCCTAATCAGTCTTGACAGAACCATTAGAGATTACATCAGCACAGCTGCTAAGATATTCAGACATTTCACGGCTAGGCAAAAGCATTTATGATGAATGGCGGAGAGTAGGCACAACATTCATATACACAGACTGCACACAGACTGCGACGCAGATTGCAGAACGACAAGCATCTACGAAGATTTATTGGCCTTCCACAAACACAGTTCCAGAACCGGAGTCGAGCGTCAACGATAAATAGGCAGTTATTATCGCGGTTTTGCAGAACTGAAGTACTTAAGTTGTTTCCCGTAACAAGGAGCGTGTTGCACCAATACAATGTTCAAGTCGTTTTGGGTTTTTTAATTTGTTTTTGTAGGTTACTGTGTCTGTGGAAGATTGTGATAAAACTGTTCCTGTATTCAAGAAGCGTTCAGTGTTCGGAATAGGCATAAAAATAGATGTACGATATTATTGTTTTACGCTCGCGAGGTGAAGGGACACAAATAATCTTTCCATTTTGATGATGGTAATGATATTCCTGTATGGAAATGTTGATAATAACAATTGATAATATTTATGGAATGGTATCTATGTATGAGATTGCATCAGATAGAAACAACTTGTTCCAATATAATAACCAAGGTTAACATATTTATCATTGAAGATTTAAAACAGTGAGGATGCAAACACAAAGATCAGAATTCTTTTTATGTGTTAACTATGCACAAAGACATTGACAACTTCTGTTCTTTGCCTTTAGCGACGTTTCGATTCTTATACCAGTATCAAGCTGTGGAACGGTGTAACATTCTACATTGAAACGTCGCTACAAGCAATATACCAGCAGCAACTTCTAGAATGCCAATGAAACAGTAAACTCGTGTTGCAGTTTAGCCTATTGTGACCAGTTGCCTTGAGTTTAGCCTGTGGTGACCGGTTGTCTTTCAGTGTAACCGATTGTGACCAGTTGCCTTGCAGTTAAACCCATTGTGACCAGTTGCCATGTAGTTTGGCCTATTGTGACCAGTTGTCTTTCAGTTTAACCTATTGTGACCAGTTGACTTGCAGTTCAACCTATTGTGACCAGTTGCCTTGCAGTTCAACCTATTGTGACCAGTTGTCTTTCAGTTTAACCTATTGTGACAGTTGACTTGCAGTTCAACCTATTGTGACCAGTTGCCTTGCAGTTCAACCTATTGTGACCAGTTGGCTTGCAGTTCAACCTATTGTGACCAGTTGTCTTGCAGTCTAACCTTTTGTGACCAGTTGCCATGTAGTTTAGCCTATTGTGACCAGTTGACTTGCAGTTCAACCTATAGTGACCAGTTGACTTGCAGTTTAACCTATTGTGACCAGTTGCCTTGTAGTTTAGCCTGAAAAGTGAACAGTTGTCTTGCAGTATAATTTATTGTGACCAGTTGTCTTGCAGTATAACCTATTGTGACCAAGTGACTTGCAGTATAACCTATTGTGACCAGTTGACTTGCAGTTTAACCTATTGTGACCAGCTGTCTTGCAGTTTAGCCTGAAAAGTGAACAGTTGTCTTGCAGGATAATTTATTGTGACCAGTTGTCTTGCAGTTTAGCCTATAGTGACCAGTTGTCTTGCAGTATAACTTAGTGTGACCAGTTGACTTGCAGTTTCACCTATTGTGACCAGTTGTCTTGCAGTTTAGCATGTAGTGACCAGTTGCCTTGCAGTTTAGCCTGTGGTAAACAGTTGCCTTGCAGTTTAGCCTATAGTGACCAGTTGTTTTGTAAAGTTGTTTTGTTTTAATTTTTAGGGCCTTCGGAATCTGAGAACTTTAAATAGCTCTCGCCTTAGGAGTGGCGTTATTTCGTGATTCAACACCTTAAACTCATACTGGTTCGTGTCATTTTTTTTTCAATAAATTTCGGAAACACTTAGCCTTTTCAAGACTCGAATAATTATCTCCATGCATTGTACTTGTATCAATTAATCAAAGATGCTTATAATTTGACGTCGGTTTCTACAAAAGATACAAGGAAAGGACATAACACTCAGTTGGTACTTCTACTTTCCTTCACAACTAACGCAATAATTTAACACTTGTGACATGATAACCTTATGTCTGTGGGAATTGTCGTTTCCACATTTGTTAACGCATTCTATATTATTGGTTTACGGATTTTGATAGTGAAATATTTATTCGGTACGTTGATGAGAATAAAATAATAAATGCATTGTACATGATGTTTTAATCATCTTAAAGTTTGATTTGGATCAGTAGGTGAGAATGTATTTCTCCAAATATTGTGAATCTAGAAAACCTATATCTGACCTGTCATGACATTTTATCGTAACCGTCGACGGTTTAATGACAACCATTGTCATTCTGATGTTTATTTGTAAATTTTCGAATTTTAAGGTCGACAGATCCCTAATCCAAGCATAACGGATGTTGCGTTTGAAGCGGCATGTCTGTCCCTCGGCTGTCTGTCTGTGTATATATACAGTGAAACTTCGTTCGTCTGGAACCCCACCTACAGGACGCTTACATTGATGCAAGGTGACCCATGATTCGTTAATAAAAATATTTGTTACTCTGGACGACCTCAGTGGAAGCTCTAACGTCCTGAATAACGGGGTTTCACAGTACAGAGGGTCGGTCGTCTTGTCAAGGAGACACTGCCTCACTAATCACCATTAAAGTATTATATACATCTACTGGTTAGTAGTTATTTCTCGAGTATGCAGTAGATATATGTATGTTTTCACAGCTGTGAATTATGCAGGGTATTGACAGAGCGCTGAAAATGTTTTAAGCATGACTGTAATATCGTGTGAAGCGCACGTTAAGAAAGGCAGGAATGCTATCGATAAGTGTGTTTGAGTTACTTCCCTTTCATCAGTTTCGCTACTGGTTGGTCCACTCTGAACTCAGCTCAATGTGTCCATGCTCATGATCTGTGGTATATGTAATACACCACAGAACCTAGTCATATCTAATTGACGATGTGGTGTTGTCTTCCAGCTCGCAAATGTCTGGTGTCTCACAGAAGGCGGTGCTTAGTACCATTTCACAGATGACGGGGCTATGGATATACAACTTCTTTATTACAGTGAATGACTTCAACTTCTTTATTACAGTGGATGACTTCAACTTCTTTATTACAATGAATGACTTCAACTTCTTTATTACAGTGAATGACTTCAACTTCTTTATTACAGTGGATGACTTCACCTTCTTTATTACAATGAATGACTTCAACTTCTTTATTACAATGAATGACTTCAACTTCTTTATTACAGCGAATGACTTCAACTTCTTTATTACAGTGGATGACTTCACCTTCTTTATTACAATGAATGACTTCAACTTCTTTATTACAGTGAATGACTTCAACTTCTTTATTACAGTGGATGACTTCAACTTCTTTATTACAATGAATGACTTCAACTTCTTTATTACAATGAATGACTTCAACTTCTTTAATACAATGAATGTATATCCAGAGAATTATCTCCCTTGTTCACCATACCAATTCTCAAATTGAATCTTAAAAAAGGGCCTAATGTCGAATCACAGATGTCGGCGCCTAATGTCATCTCACAGATCGTGGGGCCTGATGTCGTATAACAGATGGTGTTGACTGGTGTCTTAGTGACGACGGCGCTTGGTGTCATCTCGCAGATCGTGGGTCCTGATGTCGTATAACAGATGGTGTTGACTGATGTCTTAGTGACGACGGCGCTTGGTATCGTCTCACAGATCGTGGGTCGTAGTGTCATCACACAGATGACGGGGCCTGGTGTCTTAGTGATGGCGTCGCCTGGTGTCGTCTCACAGATCGTGGGTTGTGGTGTCGTCTCACAGATGACGGGGCCTGGTGTCTTTGTGATGGCGGCGCCTGGTGTCGTCTCACAGATCGTGGGTTGTGGTGTCGTCTCACAGATGACGGGGCCTGGTGTCTTATTGATGGCGTCGCCTGGTGTCGTCTCACAGATCGTGGGTCGTGGTGTCGTCTCACAGATGACGGGGCCTGGTGTCTTTGTGATGGCGGCGCCTGGTGTCGTCTCACAGATCGTGGGTCGTGGTGTCGTCTCACAGATGACGGGGCCTGGTGTCTTTGTGATGGCGGCGCCTGGTGTCGTCTCACAGATCGTGGGTCGTGGTGTCGTCTCACAGATGACGGGGCCTGGTGTCTTAGTGATGGCGGCGCCTGGTGTCGTCTCACAGACCGTGGGTCGTGGTGTCGTGTCACAAATGACTGGGCCTGGTGTCTTGGTGATGGCGGCGCCTGGTGTCGTCTCAGAGATCGTGGGTCGTGGTGTCGTCTCACAGATGACGGGGCCTGGTGTCGTCTCACAGACCGTGGATCGTGGTGTCGTGTCACAGATGACGGGGCCTGGTGTCTTAGTGATGGCGGCGCCTGGTGTCGTCTCACAGACCGTGGGTCGTGGTGTCGTGTCACAAATGACGGGGCCTGGAGTCTTATTGATGGCGGCGCCTGGTGTCGTCTCACAGACCGTTGGTTGTGGTGTCGTGTCACAGATGACGGGGCCTGGTGTCTTAGTGATGGCGGCGCCTGGTGTCGTCTCACAGACCGTGGGTTGTGGTGTCGTGTCACAGATGACGGGGCCTGGTGTCTTAGTGATGGCGGCGCCTGGTTTCGTCTCACAGACCGTGGGTCGTGGTGTCGTGTCACAGATGACGGGGCCTGGTGTCGTCTCAGAGATCGTGGGTCGTGGTGTCGTCTCACAGATGGTGGGCCTTGTTGTCGTCTCTCAGAAGGTGGGGTCTGGTGATCTTACAGATGGTAGTGTCTGTTATTTCACAGTGGTGTCAGGGCCTATCATATTACAGATGGCGGGTCATGTTCTCACCACACAGATAGCGTGTCCTGGTATTGTCTCACAGGTGGCTGGGCCTGGTGTGAGCTCATAGATGGTTGGGTTTCACACGTGTTTTGAATTATAAGACATTTCTGAGGGTTGTATGTTACTTTCCTGATTGGGTAGTCATGCTCTGCGACTCAGATGATGTCATCGAAGCCCGACGGGGGCACGGATGAGGCGCCGCAATGCGCTGTGCGGAGATGCTTTTGCGTCTTTGGCACATCAGAGACCTATGATTGTGTCTTCGAATCCCAGTTTGTCCCGATTATGTTTCTAGGTTTGTCAGCACCATAACCGTGGTAAACGTCTGAGACCTGCATCACTTTGGGCGTTCCTCCCACATTAAACTGACACGCCGTCATATAAGTCATGTGGTAGACATATGTAGGGACTTTTCCAAATGACGAAACAGTGTCCGATGTAATTCCCTATTTTGACTTGTACCATAGCAATATCCCTGTATTTGGTCAGATCAACACTTGACGTGCCTTTGCAAGTGTTTGTGACGAATGCCACCAGTGGGGCAGGATACGCCCACCTTTGGGCGAAAAGTATTTGATGGTGTGTAAAAACAATATGCCCGAGCTCATGATATAGTCGGAATCGTACAACGTACTCAACTTTCAGCAGAGACTTATTGTGTTTATGGAAAGGTGTTTTTGTCGCTTTCATAATTATTCGATCAGGGATTTGTTTTGACACTATTTCATTACTGACAGGCCGCCGTGATAAAGCTTGAATCGTGTTGGCTTCTGTAGTGAACAGCAAACAAACAAACAAAGCAGCACACACACGAATACGTCTGTACAAACACATACACACACGCACGCACGCACGCACGCACGCACGCACGCACACGCACACACACACATAAGATATAACAATATTGTTTATGATTGTTACTGTATAAGAGGAACAGTATTTATGGGACCGTGTCATTTCAGCTATAAAAATAGAATGACCACCTTTGATGAACGAGACACAGTTACTGAATGCGGACAGCAAACGCGCTCAAACTTTGCACATTTCACATTTAAAACATGGTCCATGGTAACACATCCTGGTTACTAGCATGTGCCAATAAACGCCACAACCACATACTTCTCTGATTGGGTACAGCAATGGATAATACCTCCAAAAGTGTACATGAAAATTAAAACTTGCGCGCAATCGGCATGATTGAGGCTGCCTAATCACAGAATGTAGTTGCCAGACACTTTGGTAGATCTAAAAGTGTGATTTCCCAACTGATGGAACAATATCTGCAAACGGATGGGGTAACGATGAGTGTAGGTAGATGAAGGCGCAGAAAAACTACTTCCAGGCTGGATGGATATATACGCACCATTGCGTTAAAGAACAGATATATTTCTGCAACAGAACTAGGGACAACTTCAGAGCTGTCAACGGTATCCGACTTTCGACATAACCATACGAACAGGTAGACAACTGAGGGTTGTCAAGACGTCCTTTCAGAGGAATGAGCCTGACTGTGGCACACAGGCGCCTCTGACAATGGGTACAACAGTTTGGAGGTCGTCAACATAAGCATTGGAGATTCACCATGCTTTCCGGTGACTCGAGCTTCTGTTTATGCTTTTCTGATGGTAGATAACGTATTTGTAGACAGCATGGATCAGGTAAAAGCAGCATTCCGAGGGCTCGATAGCTACGATAGTGGCAGCGTCATAGTCTGGGCTGGCATCACATACGATAACAGAACGGATCTGAAGATAATGCAAGGGAACAAGACACAGTCAACATTATGTGGAACAAGGTTTACGTCCAGTGGCCGTCCCATTTGCCCTGGGCATTTTGGGTTCGAGATGTCGACATGCGTCTTCGCAGAGCTCGTGTTGCATTCGACTACTCATTTCACCGATTAAACACCTTTGGGGGATTATGGGCCGAAGGGTTCGCAGCCGATCTCAGCGTTCCCAGCGTCCACAACAGTGTGTGTGTGTGTGTGTGTGTGTGTGTGTGTGTGTGTGTGTGGCTGCTTGTACTAGTCCGGACTGATGCCGATTTATAGAGCCATCCCACTGAGATACCATGCCGCAGTTTAACATGAATACCCCATTCAGACACAATATACTGACTCCGAGCCCACCAGTCCTTGTTTTAGCCCCTTAATGCCGAGCGCCAGACAGGGTAACAACACGTACCATCTTTTAACGTCTTTTGGTAAGACGCGGCCGAGGATCGAACCCCGGACCTTCCGCTCTCCCTAACAAGAAGAATGGCAAAGGATACCACTGGGTACAATCTAGCGTTTGATATCCAGTATGCCCAGATGATGTGCCTGCTTCGATGCTTACCAGATGTCGACTTTACGATGAAGATTGAATTCAAGAACGTCATTTCTTTACATATTATTTCTGAATAAATTCGTGTGTTCCCTTAACTTTCATTAATAATTCTCTTCTTTGTTGCCTCCGTTATTCGATGACCTGTTCTGACCCGTAGACTTGCCATATCATCGGTTTGAATGCCCTTTACCATAATTGAACAGTAGCCCAATGTATCGGGATAGTGTCTCCATGTGAAAAGACTCTTGAAATACACGCGACTGAAATGTAACACACCGTACCGACTTTCACACGTAATCAACACAGCGAAATGACATTTTGACATTGATTTGCCTGTTTCGTATTTCAGGTGTTGTATCGAGGTGTCTAACGGATATGAGGTATATTCAGCTCCTCATAGAAAAATCAATAATTCCGGTATTGTGTTTTGACTTTTCGTCGGCGAAGTGATCAATGACTGTAAATTTCAGACAGATTGGTTGTCACCTTCATGTACATTTCATCAGCTGACACACATACATCAAACAGTTCCTTTGCGACGTAACTAGACAAAGGACAAATATTTGAGTACAGCAAGTCCTTTGAAATGGATGGTGATTCCAATATGAGTCGAGTTATCCGTCATACGAGACAAACGGAGACCTATATCACACTATAGTAGTGTTTGTCGTTTTACGCCACACTCTGCAATATTTCAGCTATATAGCGACGGTCTGTAAATATCGAGACTAGACAATCCAGTGATTGACATCATGAACATCCTTCTAAGCAACTGGTTAACTACGACACATATCAAGTCACCGAACCTTACCACCCAGTCCCAGTATTTGCCTTTTGCGATAAGCATGGGTTGCTGAAGACCGATTCTAACTACGATCTTCACGAGTGACCATAAAGTTAAAAAGATCCTTGCAAAACAAAAGATAATAGTCTTATAAAGATATCGAAATATCGAGAGAGTGAAGTTCGAGTTGAACACGAATGCACTCGGGTTACGCAAAGTACAATAAAGCACTACAGTACAAGAAAGGGGGCTGGGATATTATATCGGTCTCCGTATAAGTTTCAATATATACATCTGGGGGTGGTGGGGTAGCCTAGTAGTTAATGCGTTCGCTCATCACTCCGGAGGCCCGGGTTCCATTTCCCACATTGTGAATCCCATTTCTGATGTCCCCCGCCGTATTTCTGGAATATTGCGAACACTGCGTATAACCCTACTCATTATTTCAATGCAAACTTTATTTTCTGAGAAGCTTATAAATTTGATTTTTAAGTAAGGATAAGAATTTATGGATGAACAACTTCTTTATTACAATTATGAGAGACGTTTCGGTGTAGGTTCTACCACCGTTGTCAAGCAAGTTGATATACAGTGTGTGGTTGACAAGTATATATACAGGTAGGAGGCAATATTTATACAGTATAGTAGAGTGGATATCAGATGTAGTTATACTGGAGTGGAGAAGCCTGTTATGTACACACAAGGGCAGTAATGACAATCATCGGAGAAGTTTTTGATTTTTGTTTTGTTTCAGGAGATCCATGTCCAGGAAACAATTATTTTGTTCTTTAATATTATTAAAAAATAGTCTTTTTTAAATGTTTCTCTTGAATATATTACTTTTTACGTTCCATAACAGTTTTCATGTATAGAGACAATAATTGATATGAATAATGAAAAATTGGTTAGGAAATGTACAAGCAAAAGTTACCAAAAAGCTATTTTTGAGAGTGCAAAAACAACATTTTTTGTCTGTCCTCAATTAGGAATCGAATATTACATTCGAATCAGTTATGCGTTCTGTGTTTTCAATGTCTACAGCTGTGATTGCTCTTCATCACATCTGGAACGCGCAGCACGAGGTTTCACATTACCGTTAGTGGACCTGAATACAAGAGTACACGTACTTACCGGATATTACACCAACTTCAATTTAAGTTTGTGTCCCGAGGGAAATAATTTTCAGTTTGCTCGAGCTTTACCGAGGTCAGACTGAAGATTATTTCAGTCGCGACATAAACGTACATTACATTGAAGCTCGTGTCACATCCTATAATTATTACTCCAGGCGTATAACGTACCGGTGCACATATTTCTGATTTTTGCACAATGTGCGCGTATCGCATTTCAGTTATTCTAGGCATTTGATTGGTTAATTGTGAACCCTGACCTTTACGAGACTACTTTCGCTACATTCCTTCGTTCATACTTCGATCACAACACCGTCGTTTTTGCTTAAGCTGGAAATGCAACCAAAAATAGACAACCTGGAAGAAATTTTAATAAATTAAATTTTTATTATATCATGAAATGCTGAAGTACTTTAGCAGATTTCCTGAAGGAAAACAATATTTAATTTTGACATGCTATGCAGCTTTTCTATTTCGCAGAACGAACTTGAGCCGGAGAATTTGGGGTTAGGATTGTTTCTCCTCATCTGACATAAACATGATAATACAAATTACAAAACACAAAACAGCAATGTTTGAGACCAGATTATTCCCTAACATGGAACCGAAGAGCAGCATGTGCTGTTGGGCGTTACTGTCTGTGAGCCTCCCATCCTCAGGCGGTCGCTGCTATAGCTTGCTTGCGCCGAGCTCCAAGTTCTCTAAAACTTTCGCGTTCATGTGCACGGTCATTGATGAATAGTAAGCACAGGATGTAAGTCCACATGTTATCTTTACGCTTAACTATATTGCATGCATGGAGTCCTTGATAGTATTACATTTTCGTCTTCAGCTCGCACCATCGCGTGCCATGGAGCGGGAAATACGGCAAGATTGTGATCGTCAGACAATTAAGCGTGATAAAAACGAACAAACGAGCCCTTGGTACCTATTGTATTGTCCTAAACATTTCTTACAATTTATTGTGTGGTAGGTGTAGTTGCAAGTTTCGCACACGTTTTCGCAAGTTTCATCCGTTTAATTGTGTTGACATTTTAATAAATTATCGATTTATATAGTGCATCTTATCCAGATACTTCCTCCTCAACAGCGCTTAGTCATGAGCTCTTTTTACGAAGATGGTCTTGAATGTTGACCGGAAGCTGCTGACATCCTCGGATCTCCTGACATCCACTGGAAGCTCATGCCATAGCGCAGCACCAGATTGGCTGAAGCTTCTGTTTCCAGGCGTTGTTGACCGGGCTGGTGGCACCACCACCTGTTCTTGGCATGCAGATCGTAATGTCTGTTCAGGTTGGTAAAAGCTTGAAAGTTCTTGTAGGTACATTGTAGCCAGACCGTAGAGAGGCATTTGTAGCCAAATACCAAGACCCTGAACAGGTACTCTGCCTCACAAGGCAACGCAGTTCTTTGAGGGCTGGTGCTATGCGGTCACGCCTTCGACATCGTGTGATGAGCCTGGCAACTGTATTTTGCACACGCTTTGGCTTGTCCAGATGATTTACCTGAATGTCATGCAGGCGAATGTTGCAATAGCTAAACAGTTAACTGACAAATGAATGTTCTTAGCATTTGACACACATCTTTGTCCACATCCATGAAACTACTTACTAATTTGTCCGATATTCCTTTTCTGATGGAATGCATTTTTGCAGATATTATTCGCTTGGTTTCTCAAACTGAAGGTTGAATCAATGGTCAGATTTCGTGCATGACTTCCTTGTTGAGCAATACTGTCCCCAACCTGTATATTGGGAAGTTGAATCATGAGCTGCATGAGTGAACTTGAGCTGAACTGAGGAACTATTTTACAGCCCCAGGACATTACCAACATACGCCGTGATTTGTTCAAAAAACGTTGTAACCTTTAGTCACAGGTTCCCCTGTTTGCCCCGATTTGCCCCTGTGGTAATACTGTGGGATTTGAATTCCCTCCAGGGTAATCAACCTGATCATGTCAACTAGGACACGAAATCTAGACTAGTGTGTGAGGGAATATGATATTACGTCCCTTTCAGAATTTTTTCAACAATATCACTGTGGGAGCTGTATGAAGGTACGTACCTATGTTGGCAGTCGGCGGTATGACATGTCAGCGTCTTAACCACAGGGTAACCATGAACACTGTAAACAAGAATACTAAATGCATTGGACTTCAACATCACTCGTGTGCTTGGCTCAAATAGAAGAACGTTGGAGGAACATATGCTAAATGTGTATGGCTTATGGTGTAGGACGGTGTATGAACATGTGCTTAATATGCAACCCTTACAATGTAGGTCGGAGGATAAACATGTGCTTAATGTGTTCAGTTTACCTTGTAGCGCGGAGGATTAACGCGGGCTTAATGCGTTTGGTTTACAGTGTAGCGCGGAGGAATAACGTGTGCTTAATGCGTTTGGTTTACAGTGTAGCGTTGAGGATTAACGCGTGCTTAATGTGTTTGGTTTACAGTGTAGCGCGGAGGATTAACGTGTGCTTAATGCGTTTGGTTTACAGTGTAGCGCGGAGGATTAATGTGTGCTTAATGCGTTTGGTTTACAGTGTAGCGCGGAGGATTAACATGTGCTTAATGCGTTTGGTTTACAGCGTAGCGCGGAGGATTAACGTGTGCTTAGTGCGTTTGGTTTACTGTGATGGACAGTGGATGAATACGGCTTAATGCGTTTAGTTACAGTGCAGGACGGTATATTAATATGTGGTTAATGGGTTTGGTTTACAGTGTAGGGCGGTGGATGAGCGTGTGCTAAACATGTTTGGTTTACTGTTCAGAACGTTGGACGAACATGCGCTGGAACAGCAACACTGTGTCCTTGACTTTTGTTAGTGGATTGAAACGGCAACCTACTGGTAAGCTTGAATTTGTTCAGCGGACGGGAAGAGCAACTTCTCACATTGTAATGACAAATGGATAGTTAAATATGAATACACGTACTAGACGTGGTAGAAAATGAAACAAGTTATTATGATACATATAAACAATGTATCTTGACATTTTAAAGATTTATGCCTCGACATCGCGAACCAATTCCCAGCCCAGATGTGTCTGTACATGCAAGGACTGGCGTCTAACTCGAACATATACACATCTATCTATACTTATCTAAATATAACTTGCTATATATCCTCACAACTCACAGACAATGTTATGAATTTTCCCTCCTTCCGCTTGGCTACATTTGCCAATATCCTGGAGATTGGTATTCCGGCCTGCACTTTTCTTGCGTGTGTGACCTGTCATGGCGCTCAGCCTCTCAATCATCTCAACAGCATCAGATTGGAGGCAGATCTTGGCTGAGAATTTGATATCTGACTCTTGTAGCACCTAAGTACGAGAATATAAATCGCCTGCCTCTTCACCGAGAAAGTCTACCCCAGTTCGCACGGCCCTTTCTCCTCCGTGTCTGTCACAGTAGCCCGAAAATACAGGTCTTCTGTTGCGGAGTATTTTTTAGGGGTGTATTAACACGTTTTGTGAGGATGTTGTGATGTGGTGTCCATTGTGTTTGTACAATTCTGAGGCGATAAATAATAAAGAGAATCTCAACCTCGTAGAAATGTTCAGGTCGATAAACGTTTAACACTCTGGGCTTGCCGAATTTTAAACATGTACCCACGAGTTTTGACATATTTCATATCAAAAGACACGAGAGTGAGATTCTATTTATCATTTAAAATAATTCTTCCAACCTCTCAGTTTGTAAGTTGTGACAGTAATATGACAAGATTTTCAATCCCAATACTTCTGTTTTTATCATCTGTAACACTTTATCACTTTATTATTCCAACCACACCACGGAGAGGGAGAGAAAGAGAGAGAGAGACAGAGACAGAAAAATAGAGCGAGAGAGAGAGAGCGGAAGAGAGAATGACAAAAAAGACTGAAGGTTAGAGAGACAGAGAAAGAAGAGAGAGAGAGAGAGTGAGCGAGAGACGGGTGGGGGGGGAGGGGGAGGGGGGGGGGGGGGGGCAGTTATTGATAAAAAATAGAGGTAGAGAACGAAAGAGCCATTTTAGCAAGTGCAAAGGAGACTGATCACCAACGGAAAATGATAGTTATTTAAAGACAGAAAGGGAAGGAAATCAATTAAGACGCAAGTGCGATTTGAAGGGGGAAAAGAAGGAGAAGCCCAGATAAGAAAGAAAAGATTTGAAAGATACAAATATAAGGGATTAGGTTAAGAGCGAGAGAAGGAGGGAAGGGGGAGACAGACAATTTGTGGAGAGGGGGATCAGAAGAGACTGGATTAGCAGACAGACTCGAGTAGCATAAAGTACATCACGTGGAAGTGAATGAAACTGTAACAGAAGGACTTGAACAAGTAGACTGGGCGATGTCGAGACGAGATGACTGGTATTCATGCCGCATCAACCCTCCTCATAACAGACTGAACCTGAGAGGCTGTAATTGAATGTACCTGATCAGTAGGGAATGGGTGATATGGCTACGCGGGCTGTGAAAGACAATCTTGACGAGGAGACTGGTCGAAGGTACAAGCCGTGTTGCACCGGGAGAATAGCCCGGCGACAGCTAGGCGGAGGAGAGGGAAGAAGAGGGGGAAGAGGAGGGGGAAGAAGATGAGGGAGTCGTTCCCTTGACTGGTTCTGCACGTAGTTATTACTGTGTTGTAACGTGAACACGATACTGAGATGACATATGCCGGTAGGGGCTGTTGTATGCATAGGCCCTCGCGGAGGAAGTTAATCATTCATAATGAATGGGCGAAGCGTCCGTGAGCGCAACATAGCTCTAATGGATGTCTATGTGAAATTTTAGAGTAATAACTAACATTAAGGTAAAACAGATGCACGTCCGATGCTAATGCCCATAAATATCTTATGGTTAAAAGGTTATGGTGACAAGCATACATAACGCACATACCACTGTTATTTAAGACACCAAATGGAGCCTCTGTAATACTTATCATGTGTTAGTCATTATCAAATGATGCTTAAGGTAGCGCCAGGTGGTATTGAGTGAGGGAGTATGGTTTCAAGCAGCATTTAGCAATATTCCAGCAATGTCACTGCAGGCGACACAAGAAAGTGGTTTCGAACATTGTGCCGTGTGACGTGGCGAGCGAGGGCTTTAACCACTGCATCAACCAAGTCAGCGAGCCTTACCACCCGATCCCGTTAGTCGCCTTTTACGACAAGCATAGCAAGTCGCCTTTTACTTAAGACCTATTCTATCCCGGAGCTTCACGGGGATACATTGATGTTGGAGAGAAAAGCTGTTCTTGGTATTTTAAAACAAATGGGAATGTGTGATACAATTGTTTTTGTTGTTAAATGTTGTCTTTTTTACCCTTTATTGTGCATGATTTATTGTTATGATCAATTTCAGGCCTTATTGAAAAAAACCCGAGGATTTCGGCATTGCGACATTATATATAGAGTTTGATGAATATTTACCAGAATAACTTCCAACAGTCAGTGTGACAGAAGCATACGACATTGATCACAGTGGTATCACATCATAGCCTTCCAAAGTGACGTCATGTCTGTCTGAGCTCTATTTAAGCACACGTATAAAGTGAAAGTTACGTAAAGTTATCGATAATGCATTTCATTTAGAGTGCCGATAAACATAACACGCAGACATTTTATGTGTCTGCCATTATTCAGTCGCTTAAAACAATCATCCAAATCCAAAATCTGATGTTATTTGGGACCTTTGATTCAGTTCGAGATTTAATATACGTCGTATTTCGATAGCGTTTGACGACAGCATACCATTCGTGCCCACCAGATTTTACTACGGGAGCTTCAACGAATCGAATAAATGCAAGTGACCCAAAGACGTTAACAGGCAATGTGGTACTGCCCTAGAGATGGATTTTAGAATTCAGACGAATCATAAGTAATATTGACGTTGTGCAGACACCATTGTTGACGTAATACAGGCACCACTGTTGACGTAATACAGGCACCAATGTTGGCGTAATACAGGCACCAATGTTGACGTAATACAGGCACCGTTGTTGACGTAATACAGGCACAAAAGTTGACGTAATCCAGGCACAGTATACTGTTGTTGACGTTGTGCAGACACCATTGTTAACGTAATACAGGCACCACTGTTGACGTAATACAGGCACCAATGTTGGCGTAATACAGGCACCAATGTTGACGTAATACAGGCACCGTTGTTGACGTAATACAGGCACAAAAGTTGACGTAATCCAGGCACAGTATACTGTTGTTGACGTTGTGCAGACACCATTGTTGACGCAATACAGGCACCACTGTTGACGTAATACAGGCACTACTGTTGACGTAATACAGGCACCAATGTTGGCGTAATACAGGCACAGTTGTTGACGTCATCCAAGCACAGTATACTGTTGTTGACGTTGTGCAGACACCATTGTTGACGTAATACAGGCACCAATGTTGACGTAATACAGGCACCAATGTTGACGTAATACAGACACCACTGTTGACGTAATACAGGCACCAATGTTGACGTAATACAGGCACCGTTGTTGACGTAATACAGGCACAAAAGTTGACGTCATCCAGGCACAGAATACTGTTGTTGACGTTGTGCAGACACCATTGTTAACGTAATACAGGCACCACTGTTGACGTAATACAGGCACCAATGTTGGCGTAATACAGGCACCAATGTTGACGTAATACAGGCACCGTTGTTGACGTCATCCAGGCACAAAAGTTGACGTCATCCAGGCACAGTATACTGTTGTTGACGTTGTGCAGACACCATTGTTGACGTAATACAGGCACCACTGTTGACGTAATACAGGCACCAATGTTGACGTAATACAGGCACCACTGTTGACGTAATACAGGCACCACTGTTGACGTAATACAGGCACCAATGTTGACGTAATACAGGCACCACTGTTGACGTAATACATGCACAGTTGTTGACGTTGTGCAGACACCATTGTTGACGTAATGCAGACACAACTGTTGAGTACCGTAAACACAATTATTGACGTAATACAGACACCATTCATTTATGGCGTTGTGCAGACTCACTTTTTGAAGTAAAGCAGATATCACGTAATGAAGACCTCATTGTTGGAATAACGCAAGCTTCATTCAATTTGTTTTCAGATATTACTGTTGCCATCAGACGTTATGACAGTAGTTTATGAGTATGATACAAACACAAAGAACACAAATATGCAAAGTAATCGCTTTTACCAGAATTGTTTTCTTATGGTGTATTTAGGGAAGTCTGTTATAATCATTTTTTGTCAATCACTGTGTTAAATGTGTGTTTAATAGACTCTGTTGTTAAATTAAAATAATGCGGACAAAGGGAGAAAGATGAAACAAATGAGCAAAAGACAAGTTGTATTATAACCAGTATTTATTCCAGTGAAGGACAAGAAGGTACTTGTATAAATCTTTAACGAGAAAATATGCAACCAACAAAGTACTGGAAGCACAAAGCACATTTTTGATTGATAGAAAAATAGTACACTTTGTGTTCCAAAAGCAATAACACTAGCTGCAATGCCAAAGGATATCATTATCCCGTGGGAAGGTCCCGAGACTATCGCCCCCACTTTAAAAAAAGCAAGAGCCATTAATTGTTGGCCCCTCAAGGGATCGCTTCCACAAATTACCAAAAAAGAAAACAATAAAAATCTTCTTTTAAAATCTTATTAACAAATAATTGAATAAACTGTAATTCCCTTTGTTTGACCCTGGTGGATTTATTTTCGTTTACAGCCGTGTATTGATTGATCTGTATGGACAAGCAACAACGACGTTAAACTTACTGCATGCGTACCTTGCGAACAGACCGATTACTTTAAGATCCGTATTAATTAGAATGTTTGATGCATTGTATAAAAAGTATAAGGTTTTTTTAAAATTTGTCAAAGATTTTTTTAACAGTGTGCCGATAATGTTATGTATAGTTAAATTAGTTACAAGAACATCAAGTACCTTAAGTCTTACAAGATCGTGTGACAAAAATAGTTTAACTTCACTACATGTATAGCAACATGCTGACACCACTCAGATAAAGCTCTCATTTATTTCAAGTGTAAAGCTACACGTAGACTGGACATTTGCTTGGCAACCGTACCTCGTCATTTTACAAGATTTCGATAGCTGGATCAGAGGGGTAGCAAATCACAATAACATGAATCCGACTTATACAGCTAATTTCATGCCCGCTTCATCACTGATAACGGTAATACATATTATGCAATTATTCATATATAATTATGCAATTGTTCATATATATGTAATTATTCATATACGATTATGCAGTTGTTCATATGTCATGCAATTAGACACTATTTCAGGCGCTTGAGACACATAAACTGGTCATAGAAAACGCACTGTCCTAAGCATATAGCGTCAACTACGCTATGAAAGAGTTCGGACCACCTCGGTAGCATGTCGAAACCTACATTTGATAGCCATACATTTAACTCTGAAATTTCATGTGTTTTGTTTCAATTTGAATACTATGGTTATCTGCAAACGTATCATCCGTTTTACGTTATAATTCTGTTATCTTACGAAACCTGGTGTTACTGATTTTCGGTGATCACTTCATCTAAGTTTTACCGCTTTTTTTCCTTTTATTTCTAATGAAATATGTTTTGGTAGAGATCGAAACTGATTATTATTCTCTGGCGTAGACGTTGTTTGTTTACAAATATGGCTGTATATATTGTATATTTCGACTGTGACGAATACAAGTGAATGAGTAAGTGAATTAGATTTTACGTCGCTTTTAGCACTATTCCAGCAATATCATGGCGGGGGACACCAGAAATGGGCTTCACACGTTGTACCCATGTCGGAAATCGAACCCGGGTTTTCTGCGTGAAAAGCGAACACTTAATCACTAGGCTACCCGACCGACCCGTGACGAATACAAGGCTAGTTTTTTTATATGTAGTCGCATTTTACGAAACTTGACCCAATTTTTATCCGGAAGGAGTATTGATTTTAAGCAGGCACATATTGACGCAGTAGGAAGAATTTAGTTTGAACCGTAGCTCTGGCAAAGCGATTTCATAAATACTTCAATTATCGGTCATATACTATGATATTATGCAGCAATACAAAACATACATTTATCAACAGTGAAAAGAAGATTTACATTAATACCATCTCCTGCAGCGGAACACGTCAAAATACTCATAGTAAACATAATAACCAACTATGTACAGAATATACACCTTATGTACACGTATACTGATTCTCTCCTCTGTTCATAATACTCCGAATGTATTAATGCTTAAAGTCTATTTTTGTAATGTACACACTTCAATTCTAAAGAGAAAAAATCGAATGTACACTGAGTGCATAGGGAGTTCGTGACCATTAAGATATATGGAAGAGAAAAGGGGCCAAAATTCTAAATCGAATCTCACATAAAGTTAGTTCAAAGTTTATATTGTACATAAATAGAATTATGAGTCTGCTTGTTTGTAAGTCTTTGTTATCTGTTCTAAAACCGGGAAATAAATTAGCTTTCAGCGAGAGTGAGATCCGCATTTAGAATTTTGACGAAACCCATCTACCATAAATAACAACCTTTTGATTCGATGGTACTTAGATCCACCTTGCATATACGTCAATATGTACAATCTGAAATCGAAAGACCTTTTGAATATAAATTATGAAAAAACTTTAAATACGTCAATATTGTAAGACGCCAATTTGTTCATATTTGGAACATTAAAAAATGATCAACTAATGATTTTGAATACAAGAGCATAATATAACACGAACTGTTATTTAGTAGTGAACGTACATGTATGTCCTGAAATGAACATGACCTTTTTAATATATATATACATTGACCTACAGTAAACTACGTTTATAACGAACACGCTTATACCTAACTGACGGATATAACGAACTGTTTTGGGGCCCCGTCAATTTGCTGTATATAGGCCGTATATGTACCCATAACGAACTGCAGTTATAATATTAGTGGTCCCTTTTAGTTCGTTATAACCGTAGTTTACTGTACTTTCTAATATTCTAATGCATGAAACTATGTGGTTATATATGTTGCTAGAAATTCCTTGAATAAGGCAAAATGATCGAACAATCATTATCAATCTTCGATTAAGGAGATGCATCGCTGACGCCACTTCTTATAAAAAACATTGACACAAAACTAAGATTCGGTCCGAAAATAAAGAGGACGAAAACTTGTATATGACCTTATTAATATTCGTTTTTGTTTGTTGTTTAACGTCGCAATCAGCAATATTACGGCGATATGAAAATAATCGATTCTTGACCAGACAATAGTGACTAACATCAATCTATCGATCCAGGAAATTGGTTAACGATGCTACGATTTCACTTGGCGATATATATATGTGTGTGTGCGCAGCGCGCGTGCGTGCGTGCGAGCGTGCGAGCGTGCGTGCGTGTGTGCGTGTATGTGAGTGTGTGTTATTGTACTGGTCTGGACTAGTGCCAGTTTTGTAGTACAAACCCACAGAAATACCATGCCACAGTTTAACAAGGATTCACCTACCCAGACACAAACCATCTTTTGGTATGACACAGCCGGGATTACAAGCGCCGACCATTCGCTCTCTTGGCAGACGCACTATGCACTTGACCACGGAGGCTGTACTCGTCTGGACTAAGATAAACATAATACACAAAGTTGTACAGGCTACGGCAGGCTAAGCCTTGTAAAGACATATAAAGACATATACAAGCCTTGTAAACCCATTTGTATATCTCTGTATTTCTTACATGCCAAAGCGAGACAAGGAATGCTTGAAACGTCTTTGTACAAATGAAGGAAACATGTTCCTTATTGATAACTGATCTTGCGTGCGTATTTCATTGATATGTATCATAAATTATAAAAAATAATGCCGATGTGTCCGTGCACACAGAAATTTCGTTACTAACAATCTAAACATGTTGAAAGATAATTTTAGTAAATGCAAACTTCGAAATAAAACCGAAAAGAATAACTAATATATATGAAATGTATGATATGCAAAGATGTTCAAAGATACACAGATCTGTATGTATTCAATAAATAAATCGTGTATGTGTTATTTTAATTTGTATAAATGTCATATTTCTTTCTTGTGTATCTTGTATATTATTGGATAGCATTACTTTTCTTCCCGTGATAGTTAAACGTTACCATAGAAGGGCATTTGTGACGCATCTTTTTGGTACGTCCTCTCTTGCATGGTGGGCGAGTCTTTGTACTACTCTAGACAGTATGTTAGTCACAGCTTGTCGGCGTAACGTTGAAGGAAAGGTCGAAGTGATGCAAGTTCTTTGGTGAAACCCAAGGGCACGGGTGCAATGCTGACCAACCAAACATATCTAAGACGAATATGGGATTCGAACCCACGAAAGCATCAAGGGATATATTTTAATGAATTGGTAAACATGAACTCAAGTATGTGGATAGGTTTATGAATATACTCTGAAGCTGAGGTCAAGAGGAATTGATGGTCACAAGAATATTAAGATCGGAGTGGGATGCAGTGCACTGGTGTGATAGGATGTAGGTATGTTCGCTTTTTCATTGTAGAATTCATTCAGCTGACCCTTGATGAATGACACTGAGTGCTTACGTCTATTTCAATGGATTAAAAAAAGCAATTTTGTGTTTCATGTTTTCAGCGTGGTCAAAATAGCCAGTATTTACAATGATTTGAACAGAAACCAGAAATACTTCTCTTGTGCCAGCCATGTGTGCTATAAGACCGCGCCTAATGGAAGCAACTGACATGATTGTCCTTTTCTAAGATGTGCACAATGACGCCACTCTTTTTTGCATTTACAGGACCATCAACTAACTCTGGACCTCCATTGTGGAGCGCATATGTGTTTGAGAACTTATAACATGTGTTATATTGTTTCCAACATGAATGTCTTTCCCGTTACAAGACAGGTGTCACGTTGTTACCACAAACAAGGTAATAGAACAACACGACTTAGTCGTGATATTTGTTATATATGACATGAAGCACAATAGAGTCAATAAATATTAACAGGGCTGAAACATAAAGAAATATGATGAATAGTTGATGAAACTTCTCACTGGCAAACGATATAATACGATAATGAAATTCGTTTACAGAGAAACTCGTCATTGCCACAAGCACTAACGTTGCACATATTTTATACAATGTATGTGTCCCCAAAATGGAGTGTATTCTAAAGCTCCCAGCAACACTGGGACGTCATTTCTATCTCATACGCCGTGCAGCAATGATCGTGTAAGGAGCAAGACAATTCTACCGCCCATACAAGACCTTCTAATTACATGTCATTGTGGTCCAGTGCTTGCAAAGGACCATCGTGTCCGTGTTGATAATAGTTGGCATGAAATGAGGATGACAATGCTTCACAGCCTGATACCTATTTCTAGCCAGGGATAATTACAATGATAGACGTTGTAATTGGTGCCCTGTGACATTGTGTTTGTAATTAAAGTAATTGTTGAATCACAGATAAATATACATCATAACGTTAATGAAGGAGTAAGCATATACTCCGAAACGTTGTGTTTCCTCATAATAAAGAAGTTGACATACATATAGTCTCTTCCTTATCATAACGTTGAGCTTGCCGACGTTGGGCTTTGGTCGCTTTCTATCAGAGCTGGCGCCCCTTTAAATACCCCTGACTGTTTCTGCTTCCGCCTTATGTCCAGTGCTATTACTGAATATAAACTTCTCAAGTTCGTGGTGCTGAAGGCTTACTATTCAGTTGTGACTTGTATCAACCACGGGCTTACAATCTACAGCTTCTACTGTCACTGTAATCTCCATTTATTCTGTTTAATGAAACTCCTCCATTGTCCCATATCAAATTCGAAGAAGTACACCGTAAAGAAGTACCGACATTCCTTTTAAAGGATTTAATCAGACCACGGCTAATGGAATTAGTCCGTCCCTCACAGCGCCACAATGTCTCCAATGTGCTGGCTCTGCAACTGCACTTTCATTTCAATAATGGTGTAAAGAGCTAGGGACAAGGCCAGGAACCCAGCGAGGATGTACACCTTCGTTTCGACACACAGGAAGTAGTTGTATCCGAAGGCAATGGCACATCCGGTTGCGTGGAACATCCGGTAAGAGGAGAAGCCAGCTTCCTGTTTGTGCGAGAATAGAACTCCGAACAGGGCTGAAACATAAAGAAATATGATGAATATTTGATGAAACTCCTCACAGACGTGCCCGGGGCAGGACCGCTTGGATATATGTATTAATGCAGTATGAATGAGTGCCTGTTTCTAATTACGTTACAGAGCAGCGTGTTTAACAACGAAACTTGGTTATACCGATGAAAAACCGAGAATCTGACCCAAGTTAAAGGTTGCTTTCGAGCAGTCATTCTAAGCGCCGTTGAATCCCAATACGAGGTTTTCATTATCTGGGTTTCTACACTAAGTCTTGAGTTGTGAAACTGGTGTAATGTACAAAAAGGGACTCCCACTGTGACGTATTTATGTCACGTGTTACCTTCTGTCTTCCAGACTTTTGGTATCGCTTGATGGCTTCTTTAATGAATTGTGTATGGACGTCTCGTATCAGGTCAGACATGTTGTATTTCAGTCGGGTCATAACCTCATTACGCTCAGCAATGGCGATGGTAAAATGTTCTCCTTGCAACAAAGACTAAATACATTCTTCAGCGTCTTATAATACCCCTGCATGAGACAGTGATTCAAGGTAATAAAGTTCAACTTGATTTGAAATAGGTGGACAAATCAACGCCCATAACAAGAAGGCTGATCAATGTCTAGCATAGTAAATGTCAGATAATGCTGACGGTGAAAACCATAACTGATAGGTTATTGGTTGTATAGATACATGTACGTGTGAACATATATGCCATTTCATGTCACCAAACATTCTCTATTAACATAAAAAACAACGGTGATTAACACTACTGTGAAATACCACGCACTTTGCGTTAATCGATGATTTGAAGGAGGGAATTTGTTTGTTTTTTAACGCCACACTCAGCAATATTCCAGCTATATGATGGCGGTCTGTAAATAATCGAGTCTGAACCAGACAATACACTGATTGACATCATGAGCATCGATCCACGCAATTGGGATACGATGACATGCATCAACCAAGTCAGCGAGCCTGACCACCCGATCCCGTAAGTCGCCTCTTACTACAAGCGTGGTCGCCTTTTACGGCAAGCACAGGTTGCTGAAGGCCTATTCTAACCCGGATCTTCACACATGCGAGTGAGTGAGTGAGTGAATGTGTGCATGCTCTCGGGGTATCAACAGATACTACGACAGCCAGGCACCCACTGAAATAACTCCATTCATCCGAATACTATCTACAAGCATATATTACACTCAGCAAATACATTCAAATGCATTTCCCAATATTGCAAGGATTTCCGGCATTAAATGTCGTTTAACAGAGTATATTATTTTATGACTATGGACAAGCATCATATACAAAGAGTCCCACCTCGTTAATAACAATATTTATTCACAATATTCTGTACACACTGATTGATAAAGACGCTTTATAGAAATCTTTGAAACCGTCCATTATTATTAAATTCAGTTCTTTCATGACTTCAGTTGGGGCCCGTCCTGTTTCCGAAGGGAGATAACCGTTGTTGATGATACGTTCATCGTTGCTAATCCAGAGAGATTTTCCAATCTCTTGTAAGTGACGTATTCATTAATAAAACCTCTCCCTGGTCGTACAAGGCTGGCCCATCATAATGATGTGCTGACACTATCGTGCAAGAGGCTTCACGATCATCGATTTAACACTCAGTATGACGTAAGGCGATCAAGTGGTCGGCCGGATAATGAGACGCACCGTTTAAAGCAACACGGCTATGACTTGAAATATCCCCATGTGTATACTTAAAAGAATATAACACTGGGAAGCTTCACTGCTACGTTTAACATACTCTCTGGTGTGTTCTTTCATATGCTATAAAAACTCAAAACGGTGACTTTTATTGCTGACTCTCTTCTCTCGGGCCTCAATAAAGAGTGTTTGGTTTGGTTTCAGAATTTCAGTTATGTCATGGCGTCTCGGCTTGATCGGGGAAGAGGACCCGAAATTATGCATGTCTTAGGCGCTTACCATTTTGGTCAAACACGCGAGCACTTGTCCTGTGTTACCAAGTTTCGAAATATGATCAGGGTAAATCTGGGATTCGAACCCACGATCAAAGGATTCCGTCAGACAATGAGGGGCAACGAATGCCGGCGCCTGAGACGATTGGGCCACCCCACCCCACCCCCATTGTTAAAAAGAAATATAAATTGAAACTTTCTATATTTTCTGACATGTACTGTCTTATCAGTTGTTTCTACATGTCTAAGACCGCCTCGGTGGTCTAGTGGTAGAGCGTCCGCCCGGAGAGCGGAAGGTCCGGGATTCGATCCCCGGCGGCCTCACACCAAAAGACGTTAAAAGATGGTACTTCTTCTTACCCTGCCTGGCGCTCGGCATTAAGGGGCTAAAACAAGGACTGGTTGGCTCGGAGTCAGTACACTGTGTCTGTGTGGGGTATTCATGTTAAAACGTCGGCATGTTATCTCAGTGGGCTAGCACTATAAATCGGCATCAGTCCGGACTAGTAGAAGCAGCCAAACACACGCACGCACGCACGCACGCACGCACGCACGCACGCACGCACGCACGCACGCACGCACGCACGCACGCACGCACGCACGCACGCACGCACGCACGCACGCACGCACACACACACACACACACACACACACGTCACTATATAAGTGCCATAATCTTGGAAACGACGTTAAACCCGAAATCACCTCAACTCACCTAGAATCTACACGTCAGTGAGCGAAAGCATGTTGTTTGCAGCCGCAGGCGGTAATATGTACATTGTGCAGTTTGGACAAGACAATCCAGTGACTGAACGAATGAGCAAGAATCCAAGATGTCGGTGCATGATGACACAACCAGACGCCGACTATGACCACCCGATCCCCTTCAGTAGAAATAGCCCAGACGTATAAGACAAGCAATATGGGGTTTTAGTGCGTTGGTATTATATGAACATATTTAAGGCACTGATACGCTTGAGACATGTATATGTTACAGTCAATGTCTTTGTCAGTGTCCATACACATGCCAGGGAATGCGCTTCAGTCATATAGTGTATTCAAATGAAGATCAAATCTTTCATGGCTTCATTTTACATTGAAGCTTTTTATGGACTGGCCGTTCTTCTTGACGATTCACATTTCATAGTAATCGTAATATAATATGAATTCGATAATGAAAGCTAAAATTGCAATACCATCCCCTATTATTTTGAGAAGACGAAGTTTATGCACACTGCATTTTTTTTATCGTGAAACGAAAATTCAAAATATATTCGGGAACGTTTGATCAAGTCAGAACAAAATGACACTGCTGTCAGGAAGCGAATCACGCGCCTTTAACAAATATAAAACGACAACCCCAGAGAATAATAAGTCTCGATTTTTCTGCCGAAACAGATTCCATCGGGCGTAAAGGCAAAATAGTTTCGAAAAATGATTTCAATAAAGAGAAAAATGTCTAAAAACTCTTATTCTGCAAGTCCCATTGATAATTTTGAAACTGGTTCTAGAATCAAAATGTGATCATTTGTTCATTTGCGATCACAGTCGGACGATATTTAAGAGACCGACCATCTTTAAACAGAATATTTTTCAGCACTTCATCACGTCATACAAGGGGGTCGTCGGGTAGCTTAGTGGTCAAAGCGTTCGCTCGTCACGCCGAAGACCCGGGTTCGGTTCCTGACATGGGTACAATGTGTGAAGCCCATCTGTGGTGTCCCCCGCCGTGATATTGCTTAAAGCGTCATACATTGTTTCTCTGAAAGGGGGAGCCGACATTTTTTATTTTACAACACATTTTTTTATAACACCCAGCAAGTCCAGAGAACAATTATTTGGGTTTTGTTGTTGCAAAATGTGAGGCAAAGTTATTTGTTTCAAGCATTTGTTATTTGATTCCCTCCTCTTGCCAGAACACTAAATGGTTGGCCCCTACGTGACTACAGAACCAGGAAAGTCATATGGACAAGGTTATATGCTACCATGCGGCCTATCCATCAGCGGCTAATGTCGAGTCGGGGTCTGAAAGCGTCTTCGAGACTTTCAATGGTATAACGAGAGATCCGACTCTGACATAAATCTAATTTCGCAAATCCAATAAGAATATTGCTGTTGTAAACAAGAATCACTCACACGATCCTTCATCCGGCCGCTGTGGAAGAGAACTGAAAACACTTTATTGCCTGGAAAATGAAGAAGATGACCCTTCTAATGCAATACCCTTGCCTGTACAATCACGGCGGAGGAGACATGTCATATATTCACGCGGAAGTGTAAATTGAAGCTCTTGGAGACTTTAGGGACTGAAATTCAACAGTTAAACGACGCTATCTGGGATATATTTCAGGGTATGGGCGACATGTATGTTTTGAGTTTGGGGAGGCTTGACCCTGCAGGTGAGAAAGCAGCTTGATAAAATACTTTGGTGTAGCTATAGGTTGCCTTCAAAATCATTTTGAGAGAAGTGATAAATTTACAGTATGGCTTTAAAGCACAAGAAAGCATCAAATGATTACAGATTTATATCAATTTCATGTTGTCAACTACTTTGCATTCTGAGCATCAAGACGCCAATCACGCACCTCGACATTCAATGATTCGATAATGCAATAGTTTAGGAGTAGGGATCAAATAAAGACGACAGCGCTTACAACAGCACAACGACCTCACCGCGCTTGGAATCATTAAACATTTAAAGATCGAATGCATACACGCATAGATACTACATTTTTGCAGTTTTCGCTCAAATATTTTACAATATGTTGACATCTGACCTCGGCATGGGTGGACATTGCAAACACACAAGTATTCTGCAAGATAAACCTTTTTGATAATATTGTCAAAATATCATTTTCAGAAAAACATAAATTTCATTATTAATGAAAAGCATATTTGGGAAGTAAAACGCAAACATAATGATAATATGCTTATTCCGGTTCATATTTAGTCATTTCACCTTTCCTTCTTTTCACAGTAGCCTAGGTTTCAGCCGCCATCTTTCATGTCGACTCCAAATTGCACTGTTATTGACTCATGTAGTACGGTGAGACCA